TACACTATGGTCTTTCTGATTAATGTGAAAAATCTTTCTCTCAGGCAGCTTCTGTTCCCTGCTTGTGTCCAAAGTAGGGGTTACACTTTCCAGTTTATTTGCATACCTTGTAATTTTTTTAGTTAGATGTCTTAAATAATGTAGCCAGTCTTGGTTATTGTCATTCACTTGTTAATTTGTTCACTGACTGACTGGATTACTTAGTGAAGTCTATTTAAGCTTCCCACCACACCGAATGTTCAGCCTCTGATGTTGTTCCTCAAGCAGGGAAAACTACTTTGGGTATTCTCACAGTCATCCTAGAATCACAGTGGTTTTGGTAGGGCTTCTGTTTCTCTTTTTCCTTGACAGTATCCACTAACTGCCAACTGATTACTCTGTTGCTTCCAATAATGCTCTGACTCACAGATTGCTCTACAAAGTAATTCAGTCAAAATCAGGCTCCTTTGAAGGAACAGTTTTTGTAGTCAGTATTTGGTTTTTATTCTGCCCTAAGAAAGGATCATTCCTGCTGTATTTTTACCTGTTTCCCTCCTGCGAACTAACAGGCTTATAGTTTAGCCTGAATCTTATATCTCCTCCCAGTTGTCTTTATCACACCCACTCCTGTTCTTTTTTTTTTTTTTTCCCCCACTCCTGTTCTTGAAGGGAACAACCACCCACTCCAGTATTCTTGTCTGGAGAATTCCATGGACAGAGGAGCCTGGCAGGCAACAGCCATGGGATTGCAAGAGTCAGACAAGACTAAGTGACTTTGACTTTTCACTGTTCTTGAAAGCACCTGTAGGTGTGAACATCTTCCCTCTCTGTTACAATTGAAGACCATTCTTTTGAGAAAACATTAGATGCTATTGGTTTTATGACCTGTTTTCTGCCCAGAAATCTCTGAGCTGGGGCTCAGAAGCTGGGGGTATGGACAGTGATTAGCTTTTCTTGAAATAACATCCTACCCTATAAGCTGAGAACTTTCGGTGGAAGGTGAGGAGACCACAGCCTGGGATCACTGGCATGAAATCACCACTTCATGAGATGGGGCAAAGGTGATCTGACCAGAACCCCAGCATTCTCAGTACACCACACCTACAGTAGACCCTCTGTCCTACGCATGGATGTTGAAGGAAAAGGAGTTCCCATCTCTCACCTTCATTCACTCAGGATTTAGCTTCGGCAGCAGGTACCTGGGAGCAGGATGAGAAAGCTGACATACCACTCCTAGGAAGAAGCCCTTCCTCTGGGTGTTGTGGGGAGAGGGAGCTCTGTGTTCTTTGCTGCAGTGGTCTTGAGTAGGCTGTCTTTCACTGAGAGAGGCAGGAGGGAGCGATATTGTTTCAAATACCAGACTCATCTTTCTTAGCAGTTTTTCATAGATGTTCTTGAATAAATGTTTCTATTTTGCTTTTCATCCTTAGGATCATTTCTATCACCTTTAATAGGTTTCACCAGTCTCAGTGGGGAGATAAGATGAGTAAACTCAAGCTGTTGTGCTGGAAGTCATTATCTAATAGGTGAAATTTGGTTCAAAAAGTAAGAAATTATATTATTTGGCCTCCTATCTTTTGAAATTATTTTAAAAGATTTTATGAAGCTGTTTGAGAAATGGGATGCCTCTTCTCCAGCTATATCACACAGCAGGTGCACAAGCATCATCCTGAGTGCCAGTGGCAATGTTATGGTCTCACTGTAGGAGCAGACTTAATAAGTAGCTCAGGTATTGTCAAAAAGAGCACCTTAGGACCAGCTGTACTAAAACTAAAATTACTGTTTGGTTACCACTGCAGTGAGCCAGTAAAGTGATATATCCATAGATCTACTAACACAGGTGCTTGATGAGAACCAGTTTATACTAGTGGGTTAGTTAGAATATGGTCCATTTCAAACTCAGTCATTCACCCAGAAGCACCATAGATACCTTTGTGTTTGATTGTGTTTGATAATAGCTGCCTGTAAATTTCTCAAACCAAAGGCATCTCTTATGTAAAGTGTGCAGTGCAGACCCTCTGGTCTCATTCAAGTACTTGAAAAAATAAAAGTTTGTTTTTAAGGAAAACATTAGCCCTTACTGCAAGTACTTCTGCACCCCATCTATTTTTAAAGGGAAGTAATCCTCTCTTTGGACAAGATCTCCCTTTTATCCTCTCAGTTGCCCAGTAAAACATGAACTGTGTTTCATATCTTCTGTCAAAGGACTACATTCCTCTATAATTAACTACTTGCTTTAAATTCATCATAGAATACAATTATGATATATCTGTAATCCATCACCTGCCAGAGGCTTACATACTTGCTTCCTTTATCATCCTGGCAGAGTCTTAAAATTCTCTGGATTTAACAATTTGTCTTAACTGCCAGGATACAAAGTAGATTCAGTTCTCAGTGAAAGCAGCAATCTTATCCTAGATGTCCCTGCATATTTTTTGTTTTGTCTTTGAAATATATTTTCTCTGTTTTTTAGTCTACATAGTTTTGTTTTGTTTTCCCACTATTTCAGATTGAAAACAGGTAAACTATAAATGAAATACATCTAGGAATAAAAGCATTTAACCAGAAAACCTAAAAAAATTGGCCATTTGCATTTAAGGGAAAACTCCAGATATTGGACAACAGAAGTTTTACTTGACATTCATTTTCATTAATTGAGCTTATTAGTTTGGTCAAATTCAAACTGATTGAAGGGTTATTAATATTGTCCTAAATAGATATCCTCATCATAAAAAATAAATAAAGTGAAAATCACTTTGAATTGCAAAAGGCTTATATGGCAGAAAGCTAATATTTTCTTCTAGAGAGAACAAACCTGACTGAGGTCTGTCCTTCAGATGAATTGAAGGTGGTTTATATTTCAGAAGATCATAGGCCATACTGTGACTTCTGATTATTAATTGATACTAAATCCCTGATACAACATTTAAAAGTAGAGCCTTGCAAGCAGTTTTCACAGGGTATTTTTAGTGATTATAAAATGCATGCATGTGTTTTTGGAAAGTGCAAAAGCAAGTATAAATTATCAAGAATCAGCAAATATATCTACAACCCTAAGGTGACTTCTGTTGTCATAGTCATACCACATTCTCTCTATCTTTCTTCTCATTGTATGTAGTTTTAGGGCTTCCCTGATAGCTCATTTGGTAAAGAATTCGCCTGCAGTGTGGGAGGCCCCGGTTCGATTCCTGGGTGGAGAAGATCCGCTGGAGAAGGGTTAGGCTACCCACTCCAGTATTGTTGGGCTTCCCTTGTGGCTTAGCTGGTTAAGAATCTGCCTGCAGTGCAGGAGACCTGGGTACGATCCCTGGGTATGGAAGATCCCCTAGAGAAGGGAAAGGCTACCCACTCCTGTATTCTTGCCTGGAAAATTCCCTGGACTGTATAGTCCATGGGGTTGCAAGGAGTCAGACACGACTGAGCGACTCTCACTTTCATGTAGTTTTAACATAGTTAAGATCCTATTGAATTTTTATCCCAATGAAGAAAGAAGAACCTAAAAATCCTTCTATCCTATGGTGTAGCTTTCTATTCTACCCAGTCGCAGTACATTTTACAAACTATGCCTGAGCTGTATTATTTCTGCAGGTGGCTAATACTCATAACACATTCTGATCATAATTAGCATCAGTTTAGAAAGTACTACTTTCCCATTCTGTCATATGGCCGAAAATCACTTTTTATGAATTCATCCCTATACATTCCTTTCTTGTTCCCTTTTATTGAACTACACTGAGTTACTGCCACAGAAAACAGTAAAACTTTACAAATTATTAATTGGAGACTTGCCAGCCTGAGTTAGAGAATCACTTATAAACTTTTCATTACAGACATTTTAAAATACACATTAATGTAAACAGAAGTGCACTGAAGCCCCGTGTACCATCACTTAGTTTCTACATTTATCGATTAACAACTAATCTGTTTTCATTTAAACTTCTACTTCATCCTCCTCTCACGTTATTTTAAAATAGACTGAAGTATTTCATTTATGAGTATTTCATTATAGGTATCTCTTTTTTTAACCTACCTAGCTTAGGAGTACTATTTCACATTCTAAAAAATTTAACAATTAATTTCTTAATTATATCAAATACCCAATTGGTCTTTGTATTATCAACTACCCCACAAATACTGCTTATGTTTTCACACATTTGTTTTGTAGAGTGTCCCAGAGCCTGAATTTGACTGATTGTGTCATCATGGTGTTAACATGTCTCCCTGTATTCTTTGTAATTCAATCGTTGGCTCAAATGTGTATTTTTGATGCAGTTATGTGAGATGTAAATGCAAAAAGTGGTTAAAGCTATATTAAGAAATAAAATACTATGTAAAGAAAGTTGACTTAAATGATGAAAAAAGGATGGTAACAGGGTTTTATAGTAAATGAAGATTTCTAATTACTTCAAAATTCTCAGAATTCACAGTATTGCTCTATGATTTTCACTCTTTTCCTGAAAAATTGCTAAACAGGGAAAACCTTAAAGACATATTTTACAATAACAGCTTTTTATTTTTGTCAGTATTTATATTAGAATGTCAGAATCATGTTCTAGTGTTTATTTTATCCCTTATATATTACATTTTTTAAGGAATAAAACCTTTTTTCTGTCTCAACATTGTCCAACTGCATATTTTCTTTTCTAAAATATAGCTTAATGAGATTCAAATAAGGTACTTTTTTATTTTGTAAAATTAGTGAGTTTTTTCTTCTTTTTAAAATGATTATTTGAACAGTACAAAAACCCTATTTAGAATAACTTTTAAAAGAATAAGAGCAATGAAATCAAGTGTTTTTTTGTATCTGTGTTAATGTCAAAAACAAAGTGATTTTTATTCAGAAAGTAATTACATATAACTCACAATTTAAGAAAGAGTTAATTTGGCTTGTAGTAAGCTTACTACTTGAAAAATAATTTTATTTAAATAAATTTACAGGACTGTTCATTCAAAGAATCTTTACAGTCATCTCTATCTCATTGTGCTGTGTTTTTGTACTTGTTTGATTTTTTTCCCCATAGCTCATCAGTAGGTTACTTGCAACATCCAGGATCAGAACAAGTACAGTTTCCTCGAACTACTTCACCCTGCAATTCCCAGCAGCTCCAAGGCCACCAGTGTGCAGGTATGAATAGATAATTGGGGCCAGGGGGTGGGTGGCGGGGATGGTTTGTCCAATTGAGAAATAAGTTCCTTGGACATTTCTAGGAAAAAAGGTTTTCAACCTGTTAGGTGCTGAGATATACCCAGGGTACTCAGGGCGCATGAGCAGTCAGATTCACAGGTTCAGTCCACTTCTTCCTTCCCCTGCTACCAGCACCCCTGCTCGCTGTTTCCCCTCAGGCTCTCCTTCCTGCCTGCCTCGTCATTACTGATATCCTCTAGGACACTTTCTTTCATTACTCTTTGGGTTCTTCCTCGGAAATTCAACCACTTCCCAAGCTTCAACCTTGGCTTTTCGCCACTGTCTCCCAAATTTGCTTCTGCCACGACAAGACCACATAGCCAACTGCCTATTGGACATTTCCTAACCAGGAATATGTCAAAGGCACTTTAGATTTAGTATTTCTCCGTTTTCATCCCTTTCTTCACCTTCCATATTGGGATCAATACAGATTTCAAAATCCTAACTCTCTTCTGTTCTCCTCTTTCACATTTAGGTTGTCACCATTTCCTCAAATCTGGTACGTTCTCTCCTTCCTCACTGCTTCTGTGTTTGCTTTTTTTATGTTATCTCCATACCCAGCCTTCCTCCCCCCCAACACATACACACATACATACACAGTTCAAGAATTATCGTTCTGAAACAGATGTCTCTTCATGTCATTCCTCTGGATTAAAAATTTGCATACATTCTCCATCTCCACTCCCTGGCAATTAAGCCTCCTATTTATATCAGAATTCTATTTCTAGAATGTACTATGCTTTTTCGTGCCAAAGATACTTTTGTACATATTCTTCCCTCCTCCTGGTGTGCCAGCCCACCATCCAATTGCCGAAATCCTACATATCTTTAAAATTTGACTCAGAAATCATGTCTTCTGCAAAGTCTTACTCAGTCCTTAAAACTGAGTTTGTCGCTTTGCTTTCTCTGCTTCCTTAGTTTCTTAAACAATCCTTTATCATAAGGCCATATTTTTTTGTGATGATCTGTTGACATATGTAATCTCTTGAGGAAACAGAGAAACAATAGATGATTATCAAATACATGACTAATAATGGCTGCATCAATATGGGCTGCTGTGGCCAAGGAGAACCTTGAGATACTCCTTAGCAGTCAGCCCTTCTGTGGTGTACCTACCCAGGTCAGGTTGGTGCTATTTCTGGGGAACTGGAAATTACCAGTACGATTACTGCAGTATAAACAGTGGTCCTGGAGGCAGGCCCCAGGGTAGCTTACCTTACACTGAAGTGGTGAGTGGCAGTTACATTCTTAGTACTAGTAGGGCTACAGTACTGATGCCACAATAGGAATAAATCAGATAAGACATTGTAGTCCACTTGTACTGAACAGCTATCAGTGGTTGATAGCTATGAACAGCTATCATGTGATTATTTCAGCTCTTTTAAAGTCAGCCAAAGTGGTCTTCCTAGCCATTTTCAAATGAGAAAATACAATAAAAGAGGGTAAATAATTTTCTCTTGAGTCAGAGGACATTTCAGAGCACTGAAATTATGCTTTCTCAATCCCATATGCCAAACTTTTCCCTACCACATGAAGTTGATTCACTCAAAAGATGACTTTTTACCATATATCCAAATTTCTTTAGGGTACTCCATTTTTCCAGTTTTCCTTTATGTATTTAGAATAATGCTTATTTGAAAATAAATTTATTTTTAAAATTAAGCACTTTTATATGTCATATCGCAGTTGTGCTACTCTCTGCTAGGTCTTTTAGATAATTGGATGTTCCTGACCGATTATGTTTAGGGTAAGTAAGATGTTTAGGTCTACAGAGTCAATTTCAATGTTTTTTTAAACACACAACATTTGTATGAAGCATCAGAGCTTAAATCTGGCTTACATAAATAACAATAAAATTTTGGTCAGAGATATAAAAGTACTGTCATTATCTTGGTGTTTAAAGAAACTAGCTATTTGCTAAAGTATGCTAATTGCTGGGCCCTAATTCTGATTTTCAGCTGTGCCACCTCCACCACCTGGGGGCGGAATGGTGATGATGCAGCTCAGCGTACCAAACAATCCACAGTCTCGTGCCCATTCACCCCCACAGTGGAAGCAAAACAAATATTACTGTGATCACCAGAGAGGACAGAAGTGTGTGGAATTTAGTAGTGTAGACAATATTGTTCAGGTAAGATCCTTCTTTTGTCTATTATATTTTTAAAACTTTCAACACTTAGTCACATAAAATTGACCAACCTATGAGACTTCATGCTGAATTTGAAATCTTCTCAAACAGATTAGTAAAGAAGTTTGGACATTCTCTATAGCCAGATAATTTAAATACTATTTCCCAATGTTTGCTTAGTTAAACATTTTTTAATTTAGAAATTAAGAAGATAAACTAGATCTGAATTTATTAAAGAAAGTGAATTAAGTTGCTCTCTTGCCTTTCCCATATGAACTGTATTTTACTGTAACCAGGAAGTTAATGAGGGAAGGCTCTTCATCATAGAAGAAATGCAATCAATAAATTTAAAAACCATGATAGAATTTTAAAAGCACTGTTTTGGAATCGTACTAAAGTAATGAACAAGGGAACATCAAAAACATCAGGAAAAGATTTATGGGAAGCTTTCAAATAGGTAGATTAGGCAAACAACACTTGAAGCAACTGATCAATTGTAGCGTCAATTAAAGTGGGCCAGGTTCCATCTCTGGTCAAGAAACTAAGGAATCCACAAGCCATGCCTGAGCAGCCAAAGAAAATAGTACCTGAATCTAATCAAGCCTCTAAGTCTAGCTATTAATTTACGGAAAATACAGGAAGAAAATAAAAAACAGTTTATAGGTACCACAGATATTTTATTGGACAGATTGCCTATTTCTTTAACAAACAAATGGCATTTTGAATTGAAGGATGAGTCTATTATAAATTTAAAAAGACTTAAGAGTTCTAACAATCAGATGCAATGTATGGGGATCTTCTTTGAATATTAGTCAAAAGACATTTTGGGGCAAAAAGTGAATAAATATATTCAAAGTGCTAAACTTGAAACTGTCAACCAAGAATTTTATAACTAGTAAAACTGTTCTTTAGAAATGAGGGGAAAATTAAAAATTTCTAGATAAACAAAATTTGAGACCTGCCCTACCAGAAATTCTCAAAGGAGCCACTGCAGAGGGAAATGAAAGTATAATACTAAACAGCAATATGAAGCCATACTAGGGGAAAAAACTCTCAGTTAAGTACATGGGCAATTTTAAAAGCTAGTAAAATTCTACCAGTATGGTGTATAGTGTGTATTTTCTAATGAAAAAGTATCTACAATACTATTTTAAAAGTACAAAAGTAAAATTCAAAAATAGGATATATAGTCTGTTTCCATTTTTGTAAAGCAGATATATGGATACATATGTATAGAAACAGTGTTACTAGTGTTTATCCTTGGGAATTGGAAATTATAAATTTCTGTATTGTTTTAACTTCTTAAATAACAAGTACCTATTATAATGATATAATGTGTACATATTTGCAGTCAGAAAGAATAAAAATTTCTGTCCAAAAGGAACTCTTGAAAAACCCTGACTAAAATGCTGGCCTGTTTTCTTGATATAATTGCAGCACAGTCCTCAACTCAGTAGTCCCATTATTTCACCAGCTCAGTCACCAGCACCAGCGCAGCTGTCTACCCTGAAAACTGTCCGTCCCTCTGGACCACCACTTTCCATCATACCCCAGTTTTCTAGACCTTTTGTCTCTGGGCAAGGTAAGTGCAGAAAGCTAGTCACAGCCTTAGAATTTTAAGACATCCGTTCACTCCCTGTCAATTTGTAATTGCTGGCATTGCTACCTTTCCTTTTCCAAAGGACTGCATTTTCACCTTCCTTGGGCATTTTCATTTGTTACCATTTTCTCTCCTAATCTTAATGTTTCATCACAATTAATAATTAATCAGTGGTACTTCCCTGGCAGTACGCTGGTTAAGACTCTACACTTCCCCTGCAGGCATCCCAGGTTTGATCCCTGGTTGGGGAAGTAAGATCCCAAATGCCACACCTAAGCCCTGGCACAGCCAAGTAAATACATAAGTAAATATTTTAAAAATAATAATAATGTCTTAAAGAATCATTAAAAAGGAGAGTAGTATCTGTATTTTTAAGAACAAGTTATATGGTAATTTCAAAAAGGAAGACAAACAGGTGTCCAGTAAGCCCTTGAAAAGGTGCTCAACATCATTCATTGAGGAAAGGAGTATTAAAATCTCAATGAAATACCACTTCACTCCGTCCTCGTGCTTAAAATTGTGTCTGGTCTCAGCGCTAAACCTTCCTGTTGTATCTGCCCTTCAGCTAGTATTTAGGAGGAGCAAGTATGTCGTGGGTGTGTTCTACCAGGGAGCTGCCCAAGCACCCTGACCGTGTTCATCAGAAAAGAGCTCCACACAGTGGCAAGAGGCTCACGCCTCGCTTGTCTCTGTTAGGAAACTACCAGGAGAAGCACTGTATGATTTCCTGAAGATGCTCTCTTAGCACCCACCCATAACCCTCCTCCAGACACTGAGTGTGCTACATTTGGGGACTTACAGTTAGAATGAGAATACAACAAATGAAAACATTACTCTACAGACAAAACTTTTGCAGTCAGCATGTGTGAAGTGCTTTCCATGGGATGACTCTAGTCACTAAGGTGTGAAAGAAAATATATTTATAGTAATTAATAATGATTTGGGGGAGATAGCTTCATGTTTTTCCAAGGTTCTTTTGTCCCCTGAATGTATGTACTGTTCACTTTTAACCATCAGAGAAAATGTGGATTTTAGTATCTCAGATGGGTGGAATGAATTCTTACAGTTCCTTTGGAGGATTTCACTTAGAATGTTAAGGTTTAAAGAGAAGTTTCTCTCCATGCTAACTTTTCTACAAGCTCCTCCCACTTAACCTCCTTCATAACTGTTGTTATTAGTCCCTAGTGCTTGCAGGAGTTTATCCCAGCTCTTTGAAGGATATGTGGGGGCTTTTAATTTTTTTAAAAAATATGTTAGTTCCTCCACTTTTTTATTCTATTTGGTAGAATATGTTCCCTCTCTCATCCTGAGACAGCTGAGAAAACTCTGTGAAGTACTCCGTACCGAGTAAAGGAAAATGTGAAAATGGTTTTTCATTAACTTTCAGGAGATGCCAGATACCCGCTACTTGGCCAGACCCTGCAGTACAACCCTCCTGCTGTTCTGCACGGACACGTTCCAGCCCAACAGGTCTGAGAGCTGCTGCCCGACTCCCTGGGCTTTGTTGGCCGCTGAGAGCGGGGCGCCCTGGCCCTACCGAGAGCAGAGTGAGGGAGAGGGTGGCGGGAGCATCAGCTCCCGGCGCAGTCCAGATATGAGGGGTTGGGGGCGGGCGGCAGGAGGCACTGGGTGCCGTTACTCACAAAAGACTGTCAGCAAGTGATGGCCAAAGTTCTACTGCCACTGAGGCAGAATTCAGAAGGCCTGGAGGTGGGTTTTTTTTCCTTCTAAGGTACAAACCCCAGACTGAGTGCGGTTAGTTGTTAAGTGGTCAGACACCGCAATTACATTTTGCAGCAGCATCAACCTTATTTCTCATGTTTGTGGATTTTCAGGGTCAATCTGGCAACAGGCACGGCAGCCGAGGGAGGAAACAAGCCAAAAAAGCTGCCTCCACCGACCTGGGCGCGGGAGAAGCAGGTGTGTCCCCAGGAGGCATCCGGATGGGCTGCTATAGACTGTTGGCCTGAGAGGCTTAAACTGCCACGCCACAGAAGTGGGTTTTCCTTGTCTAGAATCCTACACAAAGTCTTAGACAGTTATGCTGTCTATAATGCAGGCTTCTTGAATGTTCTTTTAACTCTGTCTCATTTCGGGTCTGGGAGTACTGAAGCAAAGGTAGGCTTAGGAGGAGTGCAGGGACCACAGGGATTCGAAAGAGATGTGAGAGAGGAGCAGGTAGGATGCAATGCATTGCCTCTGTATTCTTTGAGAAAGGAAGTATTCTTTACACCCTTCAGGCAGTATAATCTGAAGAACAAATACATTGCCTTTCTATGGCAGAGGGCTTTCAAGTCTGTACCTTAACTTTCTATTCAGTAGCCTTGGGTTTGTTAGGGCAAGTGCTATTTTAAAGATAACATACAGAATACTTCCCTTGTGGTCCAGTGGTTAAGGCTGCACTTCCAATGCAGGGGGCATGGGTTCCGTCCCCCATCAGGGGACTAAGATCCCACATGCCTCAAGACACAGCCAAAAAATAAAAATTGAAGATAACGTATAATTTGACAATGGGAATTCGAAGTTCAGGAAACTGTACCCAGGATCACACACCTAGTTTGAAGAAGCCACTGCACAGGCTGCATTTTGTACATGAGGCTGTGAGTGTGGCCAGTGGCATGGGTCTGTCTGCCCCCCTTGCTTGGGGGTAAGTAAGAAATATTTAGAAGATGGCCATACCAAGCATAACTTTGTGGATTTGAATGGTTTCAGAAAATTGTGTTCATTTCCTGTGTCATTTGAGTCTGCAGTACATTCTGCCCACCTCTTGGTAACAGGGATTAATTCTCTACCTTTTCCATTCTAGTTGTTGGGAAGGTCTTGGAAATTACTGAACTACCAGATGGAATAACTCGCATGGAAGCCGAGAAGCTCTTTGGGGAACTCTTTAAAATTGGCGCCAAGATCCGGTGGCTCCGGGACCCTCAGTCCCAGCCCCAAATGCGTCGTCACCCTCTCTGTTGTGGCAGTGGTGACAGCACTGTCAACCCTGAACGCTCGAAACCCAGTGACTTGGCCTCCACGTATACCGTCCTAGCCACATTCCCCTCCATCTCCGCTGCGCAGAATGCATTGAAGAAACAAATTAACTCGGTTAACAAGTTTAAGCTGAGAACAAGCAAGAAGCACTATGACTTTCACATTTTGGAAAGGGCAAGTTCTCAGTAACAGCCACCTCAGACCCTTGGCCTTTGTGGTCCCCCCATCGTCACCCATCTTTAACTGGCTTGGTATTGGGAGCTTCTGTTAACACGATAGAGACTCCTAAGATGTGTGGTCATGGCGTTACAACTTCTGAAGACAGGCCGGTGATCCAGCAAAGAGGGGAAAAATACACGTTTCACCCCAAATGACTGTAGGAATCCACATCAGAATGATACAGAGTTAGCAGCTTTTTCTGAGGAAATGCTGTTCAAATGCCTCCTAACTTTTATAGTTATTTTGTTTTATATTTCTGAATTCTTGTATCAGATCCAAAGCTCTATTGTACAGCAAATTATTCTTCAAAATGAGTACCACCAGTTGCAACCTGTATTTCTTTTTTGCAGCCAGCACAGTGTGACCCGACATAGAATTTGGGGGAATAAGAATGCAGGAGTGGAGTAGCCAAGTTAAAACCACATACCATCTTTTGGGGGGCCCAGTAGGTGACTAAGGAGAGCTCACAAACAGGATTACTCTTCCCCTGTATCTCTAAACACAGAAACAATTTCCAGAAAATAAAAAATTCCCTCATAGGGTCCTTTCCTTATTCACTTAGGTCATATGAACACTGTCAAGTAAATTATGTTCTTGACACCTCTTAATCAAACCACTTAGATTCAAAGGGGAATAGGAATCATTCTAGGCAGGAAAATACTTCCACTTTTTTTTTTTTTTAAAGTGTCCCTCCGATAACTAAATGCCACTTATTTGCATTCCCTTCCTTGTAGATTTTTTTTTTTTTTTGTCACCTGAGGAAATACATTTGATGAGTGCTGGAAACTTCTTAAGTGGTTTAAAATGTGTTTTCATTGTTTGCAGCGGATCACTGGACATCAAAGATTCATTGCACTTATGAACAAGGAACCTTTTTTTCAATTTGCAAGGCTGTACAATGTGTGCTGATGCAAGCCTTTTTCAGTTCAAAAGAATAAATGTTTACAAATATATTCCCACTTTGTCTTTTGTAAATTAAAATCACCGTTTTAAATGAGTCAGTACGGAAGACTTAACCTATCTTGAAGATTTCAATTTCAGACTCAGGGAAGATGAAAGACATTAAATCCCCTCGCTTTACAAATACTCTAAAGCATCAGTTTCTCTGTGGGAGTGTTTCTTGTGGGTATAACTCATGTCATTTTGTCCTCAGTCAGTTGTAGACAATTGTGAGTATGAATGAATGTATAGTGAGACAGCTGAAAATAGGACATTATGATCATTTAGGTAAAGAATTTGTGGTTTTAGATGATGTTTTGAGCACCCAGTTGTCCAGTTTAGCTCAAGTTCTTTATGGAAAGCTTTCCCCACTTGTCAGCCCAGCAGAATCAAACTGGTAGGAAACCAAAAATGGGGGTGAGGGGAAGGGGATTCTGCCATCTGCAGCTTGCCTGAAGCCTGGCTGGCTTCCAGCCCAGACTAGGGGTTTATTTTTTGCAACTCAAGAGCAATAGGTGTTACCAGTCTCTGGCGCAGATGTTCTCTCCCTCTAGAGCATCTGCAAAGCCCTACTTTGTCCCAGGAAAACCCAAACCCACCGCCCGCCCCTGCACACACAAGCTGGTGTGTTGTGATTATGTATATTGTGCTCCTGAAAGCAGAAGTGGGAGCTGCCTCTAAACCAAGTGAGATTAAGGAGCCAGACACAGAGAAAGAAGTAGGAAGGAGCACTGTGAAAATCACTCACTTCCAAGGACTGTTGAATTTTTAAATTTTTGATTGTAGAGAAGGCCAACATTGAAGCAGGAATTATTTAATCATGGGGGTGGAGACAAAACTACAATCCTATGATTTATTTCAGTTCTCTGAATATTATCTTTTAAGTTTTGCTGTAGAAATCCTGGTAAAGTGAGGGGTTATTTTAATTGTGATATAATTGACATGTATTCATTGCAGACATATGACATAACAATCTGATATTGAAAGATGTTGATCGCAATAAGTCTAGTTAACATTCATCACATAGTTTTTTTTTTTCTTGTGACAAGAACTTCTAAGATCTGTTTAGCAACTTTTAAATATACAAAACAGTATTAATGACTGAGGTCACCATGCTGTACATTAAACCTAAAGTTTTGCTCTAGACACTTGGTTTACCCTGTAGGAGTTGAAGACTGCCCAGAGGAAGGCAGAGCTGAAGCTATTGTAAAGTCAGCTCTGAGCCTTCACCACCACCATCTCCCCACCCCTGTCCCCAGACAATCACAGGTCCCTAAAACCAAGGAGCCTGCCATTAAAAAACAACTGTAATGATTAGCTTTAAAATTGGCCTTGAAACTTTAATGTGAACATATTTTAAGTGACCTGCTGATGAGAGTCAACTAAATGAACACCGTTTCTAATATAAGGGCAAACAGCACATAATTTTTCATAATCGTTCTCAGTTGTGTCCAAAGATACTGAATTCCTTTCACAAGCTTAATACTTGCTTCTTTAGAATTTTTGAAATATACTTAGATATATAAAATCCTGCATGTGCTTTTAAAAATACATATATCCAAATTGCCACCCCCCAGATACACATTACAAAAATACACATGCATTCCCTCAACTATATTCTCCGGTTCTTTTTGATCCAGAATCTAATTTGATCTGCAGAAAAATGTTGGGAGGAGGAAGCACTCAAAGGAGGCATTTAAAGATGTGATTTGGTCCAAACTTTAAATCTTCCTAAGGACAGCTTCCGTGCACCACAGTCCTGGCTGTGGGTTTTCCCAGAGCACTGACTATTTAGGGGCAGACAGTACTTTTACCAATAAGATGAGTTATTTGTATTTGTATCTGTATCAATATTAGCAGCTCCAGCAGCCCCTTTGGGAATGATGGAGGGCATCTGATAACTTTGTGGGCACTTCTGCTACCTTATGTATTAGGAAGCTGAGAGTAAAGGCTTACAGGTTTTTAAGCCCTTGGTCCACAAAGAATGTAAATAGATGTGCTTGTGAATCTGGAGTACAAAGTGTGTTTGCCAACAGTAATTTAAAAGAATTAGCTTGTCACCTGAGCTAACAAAGTAGGTATCTGAACCCTCCCCCACACTAAGAAATTGGGTTTTTTGATCCCACCAGGGAGGGACCTGTGGCCTGTAAATAGTGTGGAAACCTACAGGTCTCAGTAGAGCCCACTGTGCCAAAATAGCTTGGGAAGAGGCAACCCAGCACATCCTCAGCTACCGCGGGAAGCCAGAAGAGTTATATGCTCCATGTGTCAACAACTGAAAAAATGTTAGTGTTAAGGCCAGAGGGCAGCCAAGTTCCTGTGTGAAGGTGGCCAGGTCCCTCCCCACTGACCCAGTCTCCTGCCTGCACTGCATGTAATGAGACCTGGTATGTGTTGTTGGACACAACTGAGTGATTAAACAACAGTGTATTGTGTGTTGTCTTCAGAGATGGAGAGCACTAATTCCAGCCTCCTGGTGACCAGTGTGCACACATGATGGTGGCAGGATTCAAAACTGGGCGCGTGTTGCTTGGAAATCTTCAAGCCTTTATCAGCTGATGCTAAAAAAGAACCAGAGACTTGCATCCATTCAGCTGGTAGCCCTCACCAGCCCAAGAAACAGATAGATACAGGCGCTATTTATTACCCATGGCCACATGTGCTCAGGCTGTGTTTTGGGTATTTGTTCATCACTTTTCCCCTTTTCATGTCTCCACTCTGGATTTTATTTCACCAACATGAAAATATTGGAGGAGTGTAAGGAAGAGACTGTAGGGACTTCTAATAAGAAAACTGAAGATGTTGGTTCTTTGCAGGGGGAGAGAGAATCATTGAAATAGACAAATCATTAGCTACCTTAACCCCTACCAAAAAAAAAAGAAAAGAGCACATTTTCAGTTCTTTCTTGCTGCTTAACAGACCACCCACATTTAGTGGTTTGCAGCACTAATCCTGTGGGTCAGAAATTTGGGCAAGGCTTAAAGAGGACAGCTTGGCTCTTCACCTTGGCTCATCAGCTGCACTCAGCTGAGCTGGGCTGGAAGTTCCAAAGTGAACTCAGGACTGTTGTTCAGTTGCTAAGTTATATCCGACTCTTGGTGACCCCATGGACTGCAGCATGCCAGGCTTTTCCTGTCCTTCACCATCTCCCGGGAGTTTGCTCAAATTCATGTCCATTGAGTCGGTAATGCCATCCAACCATCCTGTCCTCTGTCATCCCCTTCTCCTCCTGCCTTCAGTCTTTCCCAGCATCAGGGTCTTTTCCAATGTGTGTCTTCGCATCTGGTGGCCAATGTACTGGAGCTTTAGCATCAGACCTTCCAATGAATATTCAGGATTGATTTCCTTTAGGATTGACTGGTTTGATCTTGCAGTCCAAGGGACTCTCTAGAGTCTTCTCCAGCAACACAATTTGAAAGTATTAGATGCATTTTTGACACCAGAGAAGCTATTTTTTATCTAAGCCTGGTCACAGTGCTTGCTGTTAAACAGGTCTCAGTAATAATGACCTTAAGGAAACAATAGAACAAGCTTGTTATCAGACAAGAAAAGTAACAATAGCAAAGGAATCAGTTGTAAAGACTCACAGTTCTGTTTCAATGGTAAAGATTAGCTCAAAGCACTTTGTGAACTGTTGTAGAGAATTTCAAACCCCCTCCAGCATTCAGTCACCAGACCAACTGGAACCTAAAGGATGATGATGTTGACCTTTCCTAACCCTTATGACTTTGGTCAACTAAAGCTTGGACTCAGTAAACCTCTGCGCAAGGTCTAAGCTGAATTTTCTGCTCAAGCCCTTTCATGAAAATGCATGTATCCTTAGCTTAAAACTTCCCCAATGTGCTGTTTGGGGAGACACTGCTTTGGGAAAGATCCCTGATGTTTTCCTTACTTGCTGCAAGTAATAAATAAAACCTTCCCTCTCCTGATCTTTGGCTTGGTTGTGTCTTTCGGCTGGATACCCACCAAGAGGCAAACCCAGTTCGGGGGTAACAATATTGAAGTCCCAGATGTCATTTCTCTTGCATTCT